CAAAAGCCGACGGCGTGTCATGCTGTCGGATGCCGTGAACCTGGCGGTCGGTCGCAGAGATGCTGAGCAAAAACACGAGCGAATCTGAGTTTCGTTTCGTCACGGCGTCTCAATGCTCTCGGCTTCCGAAGCTTCCGTGGACAGTGAAGCTGGAAAGTCACCTGCAGCAGGACAAGGCCACATCCATGACCGCTGCTCGGACGCCGCCAGGACACTTGTATGACGTCATCGGGCGGAAATCGAGGGACTACTTTTTTGGACGCGGTAAACACTCCTCACGGCACGCCACTGGGAAGAGTTCACGCGTTCAGTGCTGCTCTCATTCAATCTTACTTTGACTCTTCCGTATTTTCTCGCTTTGTTTCATCGTTCAACTTATAATGAAATACCGGATAAGAGAACTACGTGACTGGGGACTATTCGGTCTACCGCGCCATCTCGGGGAAAACGGGCTTGACGGCGTTGTTAGGAGTGTGTTGTGGAGGAGCGGCACTTACAACAGGCGTCTTGACACTGTTCCGGCTGCGGTTACCCTCAGAGCCTTCGTACACGAAGGCCTTGCAGGTGCGTGCGTAAGGGTCGTAGTACCACTTCGGCTTGTGGGCAAGGCAGGGTCCTGACTCTGCGGCCATCGCGCACAAGTGCCTCTGGCATCAGATCGTGCCCTTGGCCATAGCTGATTGGAGGAGCGAGAGTCGCAGCCAAGAATATTCGGTATTTCTGTCGGCCAATCTTGATTTGTCGGACCGGTAGATGAACTCTAGATGCGCCGATCTTACACTTGCGAGGGATGACAGTATGCACTCTGAGAAACCGGGAGCGTCTGCTTTCTCGCAAAGCACTTGGTAGAGCCAATCCCTGCAGTCTACGAAGGGAGCTTGACCGCTGACGTGGTTGAAGATATGTTTAGCACCAAAATACCTTCACAGTCCCCGACACCTTAAGAAACGAATGGCGTGACTTCTTGGTTCATAATTTGGCTTTCAAGCTCTCTAATCAAATCATGCTGCATTCTCATTGGCTGTGCAGAGATAATAAGATTCCCTGAACTCGCCATGTCTTTGGTTTCTTAAGTCTCTTTCTAAAATGCAGATAAATTTTCGTAAGTCGGCATGCTTGCACATAACAAACAAGAGGAACGTTTTAAAATTTTCCTACAATCTGGGGGATGTGAATTTGTACAATGTGGGCAGTTTCAACTACCTTGGTGTCACGATCTCAAATGACCTACAGTGGCGGGCCCATATTGAAAATGTTTGCTCTTCGGCCTATCGGAGTCTTGGTTTTGTAGGACGGAAATTAAAAGATGCTACTATAGAGACGCAAAGTTGACTGCCTATGAAACGGTGGTACGTCCTATTTTGGAGTATGCCAGTGTGGTATGGAGTCCCAACAAAAAAGTTGACAAAGAAAAACTAGAAAAGATTCTAAGGTTGGCTTACGTTTTATTCTATCTAGGTATAAAAGAACAGGCTCTGTAACTAGAACGTTGCATGAGTGCGGCTTGCAGCCACTAGAAACTAGACGGAAGATTGTAAGGTTAAAGTTGTTTTTTTTTCGCTCTATAACGGACAATTAAAAATTGATCCAGCATTGTATCTGAAAGAAGTGCATAAGTGATCAAGAAGACTAAATCACAAGAAAACGGTCCAACCTTATGGTAGCAGAAGAGACGTCTTTAAATACTCTTTTTTCGTGCAAACAATTGAAGAATGGAATAGTCTCCCGGAGTGTGTCATAAATTTAACAGACGCGTCTCATTTTGAGTCTTCCTTGGAAGAGCTGTTTCCAAATTAAAAGAAACTGTGGTTGATTGTTGTTATTTGAAAATGTGAGAGTATTTTGTGTGTCCTTATTGCTGTTAAACGTTAAGATTGTATGTTTTTCCCTTTTATTTCCCCCTCCCCTGTAATAGCCTTCGAGAGAAGGCTGCTAGTATTGATAAATAAATAAATAAATAAAAAAGCTGTCGGGGACTGCAGCTCTAAACGGATTCTCAGTTGCCGTTCACCGAACTGTGTTTTAAAGTTTGCAGCGACTGGACCCCCCAAGTGCTTTGCGGGGACACGGCACAGGGCCGCTACAGGCGTGAGCTCTGAGATTCGCGTGTTTCGCTCCCTCATCCACTTTATTGTTCATTACTGTGTACTAAAATTTAAAAAAAAAGTCTTACGAATTAAAAACTTTTTAAACAAAAACAAAAAAAAAAAAAATATATATATATATATATATTTTTTTTTTTTTTTTTGCCTTTCCATTGCAATTTAAGCCAACAGATTTTTTACTGATGGAGTCGCAGCAATCGAGAAACACGAGTTTAAGAAACTTCATCTTCCCGGCACAAAAAAAAAAAAAAATAATAATAATGTCGTGCTTTCCACGTCACCCTGTCTGAACCTTGCGGGCCGAATCATCGAAGCCGGCTCTTGATTGGCGGGGGGGGGGGGGGGGGGGGGGGGGGTATGTATATTGGACGTCGACGCAGAGTACCGCCACGTGAATCACAATAACAATCCTACTTGCCAATCTCTGCGCGAAATAAAAAAATAAAAAGGGGGGGAGGAGGGGGTAATAATTATAGAAACCTTCTGCGAAGCTGCACCACAGGCCTTAAAATCATGCAGCTCCCTGTCGCATTTCATTAGAAGTGCCATCCGTAGCACCTGCGTATTAACACTACCCGCCCGATTGTTGTCCTGTCAAATGCCAGTTTTTTTCCTCGAATAACGTGACGATGACACGTGCAGTTCTCGCGGCGGAGACTCTAGGCGGTCCTAATGGGTTCGTGAAGCGCGTACCGAAGAGCGAACTCTGCCCTCCAGATGTCTGTCCATTCTGAAGGTTTCGTGTCATTGAGCCTACAAGTTTCGGGCTGTTTTATCTTTTTGACACTTTCCTTAACACCTATTTCCGAACGTATACTCACTGTCACCCCGTGAATCGAAGTAAGACAATTCCGTCTGCTGGCAAAGTGTTTTCTATTATTACCTATAGCGTGCCTACATGTCTGTCTGTCTGAGGGTGAAGACATCCATTGTTGCCCTGAATGTGCCAGTGCGTGACGCTCTGGCGCACTCGGTGCGTGACTTGGGCGGTAAAATGGCGTCTGCGCATTAGCCAAAGCTACGCGCTCGAGCTGAGTGACACCGGATTGCGCGCGCTTTAAAATGCATAAAAAACAATTGGGCGCAAAAATGGCTGAGATATCACCACTCAAGCAAAACCGCGCGTGTGTATGAAGGCACTCTATTTTTACCGATGAAACAGCGCCGTCAAACGTACACTGCAGCACTCTCCGACGGACGGTGGTGGGTTCTACATGTTACACCGAAACCAAATTAGCGCTACCACTTCAGCGTTCTCTAGAGGAGAAGCTGCAACATTGCGCCACGATATCAAATTAATATCGTTTCCTTTTGTTTGGCAGCCAATTCTTTCGTAATCTTAAACGGAATCTAATTGAGAACATACTCGAGTGAAGACGCTTTTTGAGACTATTTCTCGTGAAGACATTTATATGCATCAACGTCTCAAATACTTTTTTTTTCGCTCATCCGTCGACGTAAGCACGCATAAACTGTTTCGCAAAACGTTTGCAGCTGGTGAAACCTCGTAAACAAAATCTTGGCTGGTTTCGCTTTATGGGTGTTGTATACAGCGAGAATAAGAATGGCAGGCAGCCATAAATCTGATTTGTTAAGAGTTCAATAAATCTGTCGAAAGGTTTAGGGTGTTATATAGCCAATTGCACGGCATATAAAGTATGTCGACACGTTTTCATCCATCATGGATCAGGCAGGCATTCAGTACTTCATATAGTATTCAGATTTGTTAGCTCGGTTGACTTGACAATGACAATGACTTTTACTGGTTGAGTGATATTGTAGCTTCACTCGAATTAAATCGATAGATTTCGTTCACACCTAATTTAATAAGATGATCCGCTACCCTTATTGGAAGCCGCCTCGGTGGCTTCGAGGCGAGAGCGCTGGCCTACGGATCCCCATGTGGCGGGCTCGAATCCCGGCCGAGGTGCCCGCAATCTGACGGAGGCTTATTGCGGAGGAGGCACCGTGTAACCGAGGTTTATGGGGCTAGAAACTGAGCGAGGAGGACATCAGAAGCTCCGGTTCGAATGAGGTATAGATGCAAAGCTGCCTTTGTCTCTATTCGCTCTTTGAACGCTTTCGAACGCGTTCAAAGAGTGAGTAGAGGCAGGCAAAGGGCTTTGCGTCTACCCAGAAATCATTCCAGTCAGAGCTCGGCGCTTTGGCTTCCCGACGCGCTTCCGTCTTCTCCTCTGCCTTAGTTTCTACTTGGCACAAGTTGCGTTAAAATAAAGAACGGAGTGGAGCGGAGAACAGGTATAACATATTTTCCGTAAAAGTGTATGATGGAGGGAGGCAGAGTATTGACGATTCCTCGGCCGGACAATCCTCACGTGGAACGAGTGTCCCTTGGCGTTGTCTCGAGGGGTCGGTGACAGCCGCAGTCTAATTCGCTTTGCCGACACCAGGCTGCACGGGTGGTGTAGAAAAGTTCCTCCTGCGAAGTCAAAGACCACCGGATTGACTTCGACAACACCAGCATTATCGACGCAGAAACTAACAACCGACATAGGCTTTTTGTCGAGTCCTGGCATATTCAAACGACGCCAGGCAACATAAATAGGTGCCTTGGTGCTTTACCAACAGTGTATGTGAACGGGCTTCGCCATATTCATGAAAGAAGAAGATCGAGAAATGCGCCACATCCCTGAGAAAAGAAAAAGAAGATCGAAAAACGTCGCTCCTCAACGGCCACAGTCGCCCCTGACGAAGAACCGAGTCGGTTCGAAACGTAGGGCCCCTACATGTTTAGGAATTGGTTGGTTGCCATATTTTAATTATTGTATTCCCCAACCAGAGAGATTTCTCTCAAATGTTTAGTTTCAAGAAAAGTTCCTCCTGCTGCTGAACGGGTCGCTCTGTGTCCGGCTGAGTCCCCTCTGTGCTCCGCAGACAACTGCGGCGGTCGGGTGTCCGGCGTCCAGTTCCCGCCTCCGTGGCTGCGCGACTCGGTGACGGCGCTCGCCTGGGCCGTCCAGAACCGCGTCCGCCTCAACCCGCTCGCCACCAGCGTCGAGCTTCGGTGAGCGACAAGCCGGCTTTACCCCCCCCCCCCCCCGCTTTTTCATGTGCGTGCCGTCTTTACCAGATACGGGCAGGCAACCCGTAATCACAGAAAAATGTATAAATATTTTAGAGCGCAGCTCTTAGGGGCCCGTTCCCGGCTTGAGCGGCGTCGCCGTCGCCGTCGCCGTTGCCGTCGCCGTCGGCGTCGGCGTAACCAAGGTCACCCCAAGGTCACGTGACCCCTCCCCTAGGGTCACGTGGCCCACAAGGTCACGTGACACTCAAAGTCACGTGACCCCCGAGGTCACGTGACCCCCCTCCCCCTGAAGTCACGTGACACCCCCGAGGTCACGTGATCCCCCCCCCCCCGAAGTCGCGTGACACCCCCGAGGTCACGTGACCCCCCGCCGAGGTCACGTGACCTCCCCGATGACGTCATCGTCACTAATGACGTCACCGGCATCCGCATCGTCATAATCATGAATGACGTCATCAGTGACGTCACTGATGACGTCACCGACATCTGCATCGTCATCGTCATCATCGCTGATGACGTCATCGGAGTCCGCATCGTCATCGTCACCGATGACGTCATCAGTGACGTCATTGATGCCATCATCGGCATCGTCACGTGACCCCCAAGGTCACGTGACCCCCCCCCCAGGTCACTTCACCTCCCTCCAGTACCCTTCCCTCCTCCTCCTCAAGAGCTGCGCTCTAATTCGGTGTTACAGGGAGTTGTAAACGGCTTTCACTTTTTAGAGCGCAGCTCTTAGGGGCCCGTTTCCGGCTTGAGCGGCGTCGGCGTCGCCGTCGCCGTCGCCGTCGCCGTCGGCGTAACCGCGCGGTGCATTATGGGAAATGTCCCATAATGCACCGCGCGAGCCCCCCACCGGGGTCACGTGACCTCGGGGGGGGGGGCACGTGACCCCCCGAAGTCACGTGACCTCGCGGAGGGTCACGTGACCCCCCGAAGTCACGTGACCTCGCGGAGGGTCACGTGACCCCCGAGGTCACGTGACCTCAGGGGGGTCACGCATCGTCATCATCAGTGATGATGACGATGACGATGTGGATGCCGGTGACGTCACTAATGACGTCATCATCACTGATGACGTCATTAGTGACGTCACTGATGACGTCACCGGCATCCACATCGTCATCATCACTGATGACGTCACCGACATCCGCATCGTCATCGTCATCATCACTGATGACGCTACCGACATCCGCATCGTCATCGTCATCATCACTGATGACGTTATCAGTGACGTCACTGATGTCGTCACCGGCATCCGCATCGTCATCGTCATCATCACTGATGACGTCATCAGTTACGTCACTGATGACGTCACCGACATTCGCATCGTCATCGTCATCATCACTGGTGAAGTCATCAGTGACGTCACTAATGACGTCATCGGTATCCGCATCGTCATCGTCACTGATGACGTCATCAGTGACGTCAGTGATGACATCTTCGGCATTGGGGGGGTCACGTGACCTCCAAGGTCACGTGACCCCCCAAGGTCACGTGACCCCCCTTGGTTAGTTGAACTCCCCCCCCAGTACCCTTCCCTCCTCCTCCTCAAGAGCTGCGCTCTAATTCGGCGTTACATGGAGTTGTAAGCGGCTTTCGCTTTTTTTGTTTCAAGTTTTAGTATAGGACACGTAGCTCACAAAACGAGCTTTACAAAACAAAACAAAAAAGAATAGTGCATTATTTACGCCGCGAAACTCATAGTTTCGCGGCGTAAATGAAACATCCAGGTTTCATTTCGAGACGTCGACCCCGGAATAGAAGGTTACTTGGTAATATCTCGAATGAAAAGGCTGGTTCACTCAGCACCGCTCACACTCTTGCGACCGAGTAAGACCGAGAGAGACCAAACCGGTTTTCAAGCCTCTTGCGACCTCTTAGGACCAGCTCCGCTGCAGCGCATCCGGTCCTAAGAAGTCGCAAAAGGCTTAAAAACCGGTCGGGTCTCTCTCGGTCTTACTCGGTCGCATATATGTGAACGGCGCTTAAGTCCCCTAAACATTTGTGTCTCGAATATCGCGTGCCAGGTCATCTCCTTGAACGAGTAGCCGCGCTTAATATGAAGTACGGCTGCCCCAAGACTTGTGTCGTAAAGGCTGGTTTACACAGCGCTGTTTTCTGGCATTTTCTTACTTTATGTATAAGTCAGCGAAACCTCCGTGTCTCGAACGTGGCGTGTAAAGCTGCATGCCTCCTTGAACTGCTAGCAGATGTTTCGGTTACTTGTGTTGCAAGAAGACGTAAGCTTTTGTGTATCAGCACAAGGCCCTGTGCGCGGGCCTTGTCTTGATACACAAGGCCCGCACCGGAGCTGCGCTCACCGAGGACATACTCGCTCGGTGTCGTAGCTACAGACCACGGAGGCGTCGCCCACCCGACCAAGCGCCATCAGAAGGGTCGGAGCCCGCTGCACTTGTCGTCTGCTCGACGTGCACCGCGGGCGTAAGCCCGAACATCCGGCAGCTCCTTTGGGATTGTGCCGGCTTGCAAGACAAAAGAGCCGAACACCTGGGGCCTCAGATCCACACTTTAGAGGCCATGGATCACGCCGGTTAACGAGGCACGGGCCTGGGAGACGCTACTCTCCCTATGGGAGTTCGCGCGCTCGACAGGAGTGCACCGCCGAATGTAAACGTTTTCCTACCTATGTTCCCCTTCCCCCAATGAGGTCATGGCGCCACCCTTTTGAAAACAAAGTTAATCATCATCATCCGTGTCCGCGTTCGGCTCGCTCCGTGACGGCCATCTTTGATCTTGCCCTCGCGGTGTCGAAAATCGACTTCGCAATTTGACCGCACACGTCGTTTCCCTTCTTGCCGTCTCTTTGTCGGGGCAAGCTTCGTATAGAAAGATGGAAGAGGGTTACGTAATCTTACTTTTATGCTTAGCAGGCGGGCGGGCCGCGCCTGTTCATCATTCGTAATTTGTGGGTTTTTCTAATCCGCGAAGCAAGTATAGATTAACGTTTCAAAAAGAACGCGATAAAAGTGTAGGAATATTAGAGCATTCCTACATGCCGCGCATTCCTACAAGCAGAGCACCACGTCTTCCTATCGCACACGGCGCCGCGGCGGTGTCATGAGGCTCCCCCAATGCACAGGCGGGGCCCTGTGCATTGGGGGAGCCTCCCGTGACGAAGCATATCTTTGTGTTTTATTTCTGAAGTGCTTCCGCTTTGCCCTTGAGCGCTTTCTTCCAAAAGGTGACCTGCTTCCGGCTCTGAGTTGCCCCTTTTGTTTTCTCCTATTCCACACTCGAACTGAGCGCTTTCCTCAAACGCTCTTTTGGCGCCGAAGGCTGAGGGGACTGCACTAAGAAAGCGTCTCGTGCTTTAAAAAATAAGACATTTTTTGAAAACTCTCCGTTCAGACTCGCTCTTATCTCCTTTTATGAAATTTGGGGCGGCCTGTGAGGGTGCCCACGAAATTTCTCTCCGTGCCCCAGGTTGCTGGGACCCGCCATACGGATCGCGCCGAGGAGCTGCCTGAGCGCGCTGATCCGGGGCCCTCCGACGTCCGCTCCCCGCCTCGGGTGCCCGGCGCCCAGGGCCGTGGCCCGGGGCTGGCCGCCGGGCGGCCTGCTAGGTGCTGTTCGCCTCAACAGTCGCGGTAAGTGGCGCTTCCGCCCGCAGCTTTGACGGCATTGTATACGGAAACGGAGTAGCGGGCCACGAGCGGCAGGGAAACTGGATGGTGGAGTGGTCAAGCAGAGGAAGCAAATCTCTGAACGGCAACGTTGCTGAATACTGAAAAGCCAGCGGGTCGCGCTTGACACCGGCGATGTGGCAGGCGGTGTGTGGGCGTTATGAAACAGCATTATGCGCTAACTAACCTCCATGTGAGCCACATGTGAGCCAAACTTGGCAAAAAACAAAAAAAAAAAAAAAAAAAAAAAAAAACGAACAACATCCTCGAGCCCAGCAGAGTGACAGCAAGTGACAGTTTTTCTGAGGGAGGACTGCCCCAATTCGGCGCCACGATAGATCCGCTGGGGCTTCCGCTGTTTGCGAGTCGTGTGGTGAAATACTTGATATTCAAAGCATAGATATAACGTCAATCTGCCATTTGTTGTTCGATGTCAGCGAGACTTACTCGCTTCTCTTCTCTACGCCTTTGAGGGCTTCATCCGAATCGCTAGAGTGCTCGCCTTCGGCACGTGCCGTCAACTCGAAACAGCGGAATGATGGACGGAACGAACCGGACGGCACCGAAAGGCTCCCCCACAAATTGTGTTGGCTTCTCGCGCGGTCGGAGTCTGTTTCCGCCTTCGCGGGTTGTCCCGCGCCTGCGTCTGAGCTCCAAAACCCTTGGTCCCGACAGACTCCGGGAGCGCATACCCGCCGCCCGACCGCGCCCCTGGGGTCGCTCGGGCCGGACGTCTGGCGAGGCTGCTGGCCCGACGGCTGCGCGACCGGGCCTCGCTGCCTCGCATCCTTCGCATCATCGACTCCCTGGCCCGGGACGGCTGCCCCTGGCACGGACGGGCCCCGACGCGCAGTCTACGTCGCCGAAAACTGCCGAAGGCGCCCAGTTTGAACGATGCGCCAGGCTCATTGCCCAATTATCGCGGTGTCTTAGAGGAGCCAAAGCCGACCCGAGGAGGCTCGTCTTGGCTCGGCCGGCTCTAATCGGGGCTGTTCCTCTCTCTCTCTCCCTAAGTGCCCCTGCGCGTATCCCGCACGAGCGCGGCTGCAACCCACTCGAGACGAGATCGTTGATTTGGTGCCTTAATCGAGACTCACCTTTCGCTTCGGCGTATCCGCCGGACAAAGGGACAAAGCGCGTGGATGGGGGGAGAAGACTGGGAACGGTCGGCCCTCGATACGTACTCGAGAAAAGCTCGAAATCGAGCGTGGAACGTGACCCCCGAACGGAGGAACCTCGGTGCGCCCCCGTGCAGGGCCTCCAGTCTGGACACTCGGTGAACAAGTCGGCGGCGAGGAATCCGGTGGACGTGACTGGCCGTGATTGGCCGGT